AGGCTATGCGGGAGTCCTCTACTCCCCAAGAGCAGGTGGCCTTCATCGCCAATGCTCGGCGCTTCGACCCATACAGTAACACATACAATGAGGGATGGCGCCAGCATCCCAACTTCGCCTGGAGCAACAACACCAACAAACCACCTGGTTTCCCAGCACCAGCAGGTGGTTTTCAGCAGAGGCAGCCCTACCAGGATAGGCAAGGGCCACCACCACAGCAGCAGCCCTACCAGCCTAGGCAAGGGCAGCCATTCCAGCAGCCCCAGGGCCAGTTTGCTCAGCCTCCAGCAGTCGCAGCTCCCGATAATCAGATGGCTGATCTGAAGAACATTTTGGCGACATTCATGACCACCAGCCAGGCGAATTTCGCAAGGGTGGACCAGAGCATAGCTTCTTTGGAGGCAGGGCAGAGGAACCAGGGTGATATTTTGCAAGATCTACAGCACCAAGTCGGTGTCCTAGCGCGCCAGCTTACTGCTCGGGCCCCGGGGACTCTACCTGCCACCACCATCCCCAATCCACGGGACCCGCACGAGACCGCACATGCCATTTTCACCCTGAGCGGCAGTCCTACATCAGCTGATCCTGCCTCGACTAGGCAGGAGGAACCACTACCTGCTTCAGCACTTCCAGCTGGTGATACAGAAGTGCGGGTGGAGAAGGAAGCCCCTGCTCCCAAGCCACAACCAGTGGTGAAGGAGCACGTACCCCAGCTTCCCTTCCCCACTCGCCTTCACAAAGACAAGTTGGAGACTGAGTTTGCCAATTTTGTGGCAATGTTGAAGCAGCTCAACATCAGCGTACCATTTGTGGAGGCACTGTCGAAGATGCCCAAGTACGCTAAGTTCATGAAAGATCTCTGCACCAACAAGAAGAAACTTGGGGATCTCTCGACAGTGCTGCTGAGCGAGGAATGTTCTGCCATCCTGCAGAACAAGCTGCCCGAAAAGCGCAAGGATCCAGGGAGTTTTACTATCCCTCTTACTATTGGCAGCATGCATGTAGGAAAGTCCTTGGCAGACCTAGGCGCTAGCATTAATGTCATGCCATACAAATTGTTCACAAAGCTAGACCTAGGTGAACTTAGCCCTACTAGGATGAGCATTCAGCTAGCTGATCGTTCTGTGGTGCATCCTAGGGGTATCATAGAAGATTTGCTTGTTAATGTGGGTGCATTCACATATCCTGTTGATTTTGTTATTCTGGATATAAATGATGATGTGGATGTGCCTTTGATTCTAGGTAGACCATTTCTTGCCACCGCCAAGGCACTGATTGATGTGCATGATGGTAAACTGATCTTGCGTGCTGGAAATGAACAGGCTGTTTTTCCTGTGACTGAGTCTGATCATTGTGCTATGATTTCTGTATCGCCTGTACATGCTATTTCTGATCAGGTACACGAGCCTGTCGTGTACCCTTCTGCACCTCTCATTTTGCAGGACCCGCCTATCACTCCTTCGTCGCAACTCCATCCAGTCTCGCCTCCGAACAAAAAGCTCAAGGAGGAGTGGCGACCGAAGCCGCAGGTGGCTAAGCCTGCACGAAAGAAGAGTGGAGACCACTATGAGCTGGTCCCACCCCCCGCACCACGACCACCCTGGCCATTCGAGTACTCACTCGCCTGCATCTTGCCGGATGGCCAGGTCGAGCTGACTTCTGCTGGTGGTTGCAACCGTCGGGTGCACGGTCATCACCTGAAGCTGTACCTCAAGAGCGACGTGGATCCGCTCTTGGAGGCACCTGTTCCTGCACCTCCCTGAGTATCCACCATGGGCGTCCAGCTAAAAGACGGTAAAGAAGCGCTTGTGGGGAGGCAACCCCATCACGGTTTGATTTTCTTTCTTATGTTTCGAGTCGGATTGCCAACCAGTTTGGGTTTGGTTTGTTTCATTTTGTTTGGGATGATGTCTTATTGGGCTGACATTGGACCTAACGTATGTGTTTGAGCTTTTTGGTCTCTTTTAGCTCTGCCTGTGTTCCCGACTGGTCCACTCTCCAGTCCGTCCCATGCCGACTGGTCCATTTCCAGTTTTCTGCAGTCCGTTCATACCGGTAACATCGTTCCCCTTTCCTTCCCTCTTCTCCATTGAGGGCAATGTCGATCTTAAGTGTGGGGGGAATGTTTATCTTTTGACTGCATTAGCTCTGTTTGTGTGCTTGGAGCCTAGTCCACTGTCCAAATCTTACGATTTGAGGGCTCCGAGTACTGCTGTTTGATCATATTGGCACTGTGTTTTGATGGATGAATTGATTGGTTTTCGGATTAATGCATGACAACTTGTTTGCGACTAGGACAACCTATGATGAGGACTGAGATGTGCAGTAGAACGATGTAGGGGTTCAGTTTTTCAACTGTTTGCTTGCCAACTGTGACTTGATCTGACTTGATCTGATTACTTATCCTTGACAGTCGTTTATGCATCTAGTTCAGGGTATCAGAATGTGAGATAGAGCATATAGGTAGCCATGTGAGATTTGAGCCTGCTCGTTTCTTTCTTGTGCGATAGATCCCTCTTCCATGATGTGTAGCATTCACGTTGTCACTAGCTAAGATGATGGGGGCATAGGATTAGCCCACGCCCAAAACTGACTGTCCTGATGTGTCATATCTCCTAGTCAGCCCCTTTGAGCCGTGTGTTATCCTTTCTTTTGGTCTAGAATGAGAAAATCACCCTTGTTGCATCTTTTAGAAGGTTCCACAGAGTGGTTTCTATATACTTTCTGCTGTTTCTGCTAATGTCTATGTGAGTGTTGGAGGTAGTGCTTAAAAGTTGGGCAAGTGTTTGAAACTTATGCAGAAGTGGGGGCTCTCTTAAGAATGAAAAGAAAAATGAAAGAAAAACAAAGCAAAAATTTGAAAGCAAAAGAGAGCCACTACCAAAAATCTGAATAATGCCCAGTAAGCAGTGTTTCTTAGCAGTCTGGCTTGGAAATGCTGATGTTTATGCCTCCTTCGCTCTTGTGCTCTTAAGATATTGAGTGATGTAGAATAGCAGAAAGAAAATACCGGGTTGGTTGACTGTGATTGTGTGTTTGGAAAATGTGGAACCTTTTTGCTATGAATACTTCCACCACCTAAAAGGCCTTTTCCCCATGTCCAAGACCCTAGCCAGTCATTTGAACCTGTGTCTAAGACCTCCTGATTAGTTAGTGGTGACACCCCATATGTGAACTCTAGCATTTAGAGGCTGCCATCATGGTGAAGAGATGATAGGGATTGAGAGAAATAGCATGCGCATCTTTCGCATCAAAATTGTCCTGACCCCACTGGTCGAGAGTGAGTGATTCATTTTCATTTTCTATATGCTCTTGTACCCCGGTGAGGACCTAGATTGCTCGGTCTCTATTCTGATGTCTTGAGTTGGATGCATGAATTGACTGTTTTGAGTAAGTGGTTGAATCAAGTCTAGGTTGGCTAGTGAACAGATGGGAGACTCTTCCTTTACTCGATTTGCTGCACTCGAATGTCCTTTGTGGTGGTTGTCCAGGTTGTTATTAAGGTTGTGCATGTATTGATGTTTGAAAACCAGTGCGATTCACGTGTTTTGTGCCCTTATGACTTGTCCCCAATGTTGGTTGATTGAAATATGTAAGCTTACCTAGTGTCTGACTTGGTTTGCTTGGGGACAAGCAAACGGTTAAGTGTGGGGGAGTTTGATAGACCGATAATTATACATATTTTCACCCCTATTCTGGAGCCGTTTGTGACAAGGAATCTCGCGTTTTAAGCCGATTTCACGCTAGGTTGTGTGTTTATGTCATATTTCAGGTCCCGGCGTTGGAATCGAGGCGGAGAAACGAGTTCTGGGTCGAAAGGAGCAAAGTTGGGACGAATAGGGCTGAAGGAGGAAAATACCCGGGCGGGTGGCCAAATACCCGACCGGGTATTAACCACTTTTGGGCGCCCGAGAAGCAGAGAGGGGCCCGGCACAGCAGTTAAATCCCCGGTCGGGGATTTTGGTGTTGGACCGGGGATTTCCCCCTTTAGTGGAACGGTGCGCTGCAGAGATACCCGGTCGAAACCCAAAATACCCGACCGGGTATTTCGACCGGGTATCGCGGGGTCAGCTGATAAAAGAGGAAGAAGACCAATTTTCAAAGGGTTCCGAGTTTTTGAGAGAGAAACCGATACCTAGAGAGAGAAAGCGTCGAACCAGAGTTCTCAAGCTCCATAGATCGATCTTCAACACCATTGGAGCCCGTCTTGAGCTTGGAGAAGTGCGATTAAACGTCCAGAAGCAGGAATCCAACTTCACAGTATGATTTCCGTGTCTGAATCTGCTTTTGCTTCTTTCTCTATGGAGTAGTTTCCCCATTCATCTGGGTATGGAGAACCCTAGATTTGTATGCTAGGTCTGATTGTATGAACCCAAGTACAGTGTTTGTGAATTGATTACATTCGATTGAGGTTTGAATGATTGAATGACTTGAATCCTGATCAAATTCCTGTTGTTTCTGCTTTGACCTGGAATGAGAATATCTGCCTAGGTTGATAGAGTATCCTTAATCGAAGGTGGCGAATTGGTGACTTTAGTCGAGGAGCCAATTCGCTATTCTGTACCGAAGTCAATTCGGTAGTGGAGGTTTGGTTCATTAGGGCCTCAATCTGTTTACTCCGGTGGAGGTTAGTCGCCCGCTAGAGACTCAGATTGAGAGGGTCTGGAGACCTTTAGTCGAGACTTCAGGCTAATTGAGAACCTTCCGCAGTATAACTTTCATGAAAACTGAACTTGGTAAAATGCAATCCGACTTAACTGCAGTCTAGGGGGAAACCATATCCGGGTGACCTCTCTTGACTTGACAACAAACCGTTTACTTGCTTTCTGTTTTGTTTGCTTGAGTTTCACTAAAAGTTCACCGCTAAATAACAAGAATTCACCGAGTAGTCATCACATCTAGGACCCGGGTTGACATTAAAACCCGACCCGCTATACTACGCTTTAGGAAGTGGTTATACTTGGCCATTTTCTAGGGTGACAGTAGGAGTGAGTCATCTACGGACCCACAAGGATAATTGTTTGGCAAAGATAGCAAGGGGTGATCTTGTAGTCGAGCTTCCGTCATCTTTTGAAGGCCAGGTACACACTCTTGGTTCTTGGCAATTTAATCAGACTGATGCTAGGAGAGCTTTAGCGGAGATGATAATTCTAAATGAATTACCATTTAGATACGTTGAACATGAAGGGTTCAAACGCTTTATGTCCCGTGTTTGTCCTATGTTTGTGCTGCCTAGCCGACAAACTGTTAGACAAGATTGCATCAAGGTGTTTTTTGAAAACAGAGATGTGTTAAAGGATTATTTCAAAGCTAAATGTTTGGGGATGGTATCTCTCACAACTGATTGTTGGACGTCTTTGTCCAATCTCAACTACATGTGTGTTACTGCACATTTCATCGGTAGGGATTGGAAGCTGTATAAGAAAATTATTAACTTTGTTCAGATAACAAAACATTCTGGAATTGAAATTGGAAAACAGTTGGCTAGTTGTTTGGTGGATTGGGGCATTAGGAAGGTCTTTTGTATCACGATGGATAATGCTAGTGTTAACGATGTGGTTGCTATCCATATGAAGCAACAGTTGAAAGAGTGGGGATCAAATATTGTGGATGGAAAGTATCTGCAGATGAGGTGTGTGGCTCACATTATTAATTTAGCTGTGAAGGATGGGCTTAAAGAAACTGGTATATCTGTTGAGCGAGTGAGAGAGTCTGTGAAGTGGGTTAAATCTACACCAACTAGGAGCAAAAAATTCAAAGATTGCATTGAGTTTGAAAAGATAGTGTCGAAGAAATTTGTTTCGTTGGATGTAGCTACAAGGTGGAACTCAACGTATCTGATGTTGGAATCTGCAAAGCCATGTGAGAAAGCATTTCAGACATTAGCCAGAAATGAGAAGAAATTCAAGAAACATCTCAATGAAAAAAAAATATGGAAAGCAAAGCCTTGGTATCCCAACTTCTGATGATTGGTCAAATGTCGGACGATTGATTAGTTACCTGAAGCTCTTCTATGATGTGACTGTTCGAGTTTCTAGGACTTCATATGTAACTTTACACCTCTTATTTGATGAGATATGTGAAATGTATACTACGATTTCTGAGTGGGTTGATAGTATTGATTTTGAGGTGGGTTGCATGGCTGAGAGAATCAAGTCCAAACTTGCCAAGTACTGGTTTGAAGAAGAGTGGGAGAATTCCAAGATCAATCGGTTGTGCTATATGGCCGTCATATTAGATCCAAGGCGCAAAATGGAATATCTTGAAGAAGCTTTGAAAAGGGTATATGGTGAAAGCAGGGGGAAAGCTTTGGCCGAAGAGGTGAAAGATGAAATGCGTGCTCTGTTTGACCATTACAAGCATAGGCTCGGATTTCATAGTAGTTCTCCTATTGTGATTCAAGAAGGTGAGCAAGAACCTAGTGGAAATGGAGATGGGAAGAAGAAAGGAAAGTTTTGGGATGATTTCAGGAAAAAGAAAAGAGAGGCCATTCGGAAAGGAACTAGAAAAAGTTCCAAATCTGAGTTTGATAGGTACCTTGAGGAGGAGGAGGAGGATGAGGAGGTTACACGAGCAATGGTGGGTTCTGAAGATGATGAGTATAAGTTCGACATCTTGGGATGGTGGTCGCGAAGTGGGATGAAATATCCTATTATTTTTGAGATGGCTAGGGATATTTTCGCTGTTCCTATTTCCACGGTTGCTTCTGAGTCGGCATTCAGTACAGGAGGTCGAGTTTTAGATTTGTTCAGGACCTCCTTATCCACTGAAGTTGTGGAGGCTTTGATTTGCTGTGAAGATTGGATAAGATCTTCTGACTCTGAGTTGGTGGCTGATGGAGAAGATGAGGGTGATGAAGTTGTATTTCAGAATGGTAAGAACTTATGTTTATTCTCATATTTGTTATTGTAATCAAATCATATTCTAACAAGTTATTGTTTATGTTATCTAGTATTTGCAGCTTTTCAAACTCGAAGTGCAAGTGCACCTGCAGAACCTAGTGGAAGCTCACATTCTGCCCATGTTCTGATCTCAAGTCCTACTGGGTCACAAGTCGAAGAAGATTATTTTGATGAGGATTCTGATGGGAATGATGAGACTTGTGTGGATGTAGAGTCTGATGAGGTGGAGTGATGTTGATTTCTAATTTATTTTAGACAAATACAATTATTTACTTCTATATGTTCTTATCAATATTGTTACCCAAAGTTGACATTGTGGATGTTATTAGTCTTAAATGTATTACTGGAAGGATAAAATGTTGGTAATACCATTTGTAGTATAATGTTATTTGGTGACAACTTATATAAAAGCAACCAACAGGGGACATAAATACGAGCCCCAAAACCATGGCTAAGACTAACTTCCTTCCTTCCTAACTCGTATCAAAGACACAGAGGTGAAAGAGACTCTCAAAAGGGTTTCTGTTCAATCCCTGACATCCATTTAAAAAAAGAAAAACAATATCATGTTTCCTTGATTCATTGTGAACCATATATATACTATTTTTTATAAGAATGTTCAAATAATAATAATAAAATTATTTACCATGAAATTTTTTTTTGTTTCTTTAGATATGCATGCCAACCAATAATTTATAATGGTCATTTTATCATTTACCATTATTATGACATTTATTCAATAAAAAGAAGGGAAATAGAAATAAATATGAGTGTATGAGTACATGTTGGTTTTTTGGTTATCCAAACCAAAACCAAAACCATTAAGGACCTTAATGGTTTTGGTTTTGGTTTTTGCTGATTTGGTTTTTGGTTTTGGTTTTTCATACTTAATGATTTGGTTAACCAAACCAAACCAAATTGACAGCCCTAGATCCAACCACTACCCTTGGGAGACCCAACGTCCCACGGGTCTGAAGAATGGGTTGCTCCGCAAAAAAATGCCGGTGGGAAGGCAGGATTGGGGATCCAGTTTATCATGCACCGGCCGCTTAATCGGATGACCGAACAATTGTTGTACTGCCGGCTCAGAAAGCTGAGCAACCCGGCTGGTCACATCATCAGTTTCCTTCTTCGGTAAATCACCTGAAGTAGTAGAATTGTCAGGCTTGGATAACAGCGCGCGAGTCAACGCCTACCAAATCCAACGACGAGGGGAGCCAAAATCTCCACCCTCTGAGACGAACACACCTGCTTCTTTGTTAAAGGCGAACTGTACGAGGGGAAGACATCAACGCACAGCTGACCCCTCTTCCGTTTACCTATAGGAAGCAAAAGGTGTTGAATCGGTATACGACTACACAAACCTAATTTGGCCATCGGCGGCGCCCTTCTCTTTTGGCGATAGTCTGCATGGCGGCGGTTTCTTGTATACGTACGCAGTCCACATCTCCTTCATTGATCTCCGCCCATCAGCCCTATGGTTCTCCAGGCTGCGCAGCAACAGAGAATCGACGATCTGACCCAGCCAGATGGACCAGGCAAAGAGCGAGGAGAGCATTCCCCGCATTTTTTCTTCTTCTCTCAAATATGAAGATTTCTAGAATAATCCCCTAACTCGCCCATTCTCTGCCTTTGTTCCCAAATTTCAGCTGCTTGCTTATTTTGTTTTTCTGTCTCAAATAACCACCCCACCAATCTAATAATTCTTGCCAAGTGTTCACGTGGATGATTCCACAAAGCCAGCTCACTATGCATGCTTCTCCATTAGGAATGGCAATGGGCAGGTCCGGGGCGGGTTTCTTGGTACCCAGACCCGCTCCGTGGCAGGTCGGGTAATTGATCACGGGTCACAGGTCGGGGCAGGTCGACTCAATGGGTATGCAATTTAAATGAAAAACATTAGAAATATTCGTTATTTTTATTATAAGACTAAGAAAACAAACAATATTATGACAATTATAGTTAAATTATTGGAGAAATTGAAGTTTTTACTAATTTATAACTATAATTATAACTTTATTATAGCTAAAATATGATGCAATAAAAGGAAAATTCTAAGTAATTTGACTAAGATTACATGTAATTTAGACAAGAACGGGTCGAGAATGGGGCGGGTCAGGGCAGGTCGGGTCGATGAGACTACCCATGCCCGCCCCGCCCCACCTACGGGGCGGGTCGGACCCACCCCAAAACAGGTCAAACAGGTCGGATAAAACGGGTCAGGTCTAAATTGCCATCCCTATTCTCCATAAAGACACGTCCAAGCTAGCTTCCAACTCACCAAACTTAAAGGAATACCACGTAAATCCGTGTCTGTTTCTATTTTCGTTACCGTATTTGATAAATCACTACTAATTTAAGTAGTTGTAATTTACTAATTTTTAAGTATTGATTTTTCCATGTCCGAATTCTCTGAGAGAGGACACTTATATTTTAAAATATAAATTATTTATTAAATTTAATTTTTGAAAATACCGAATACGTCTCTCATTACATTTCACCATAAGATTTAAATTTAATTTAATTTCTGGATAGGCTTTCCTACGGAAATGGTTAAGCACCATACACGAATCTCTTCAAGCAACTCGAGTTATTGATATAGTTGGTTTAATTATGACAGCTCTTTTCATCAATAAGAATACTAGAATAGGCATTCCAAAGTAGCAGACCTAGTCACCTAGATAGACAAATGAATTAAGCTTAGATCAAATGCATATTAGACAATTTAGGAGCTGATGTTGTACGTACGTGATATGGGTAGATGCTAATTATTATTATTTCTATGAAAAAAGGGAAAAATTTCAAACCAAACATATGATCAGTAATAAGCTCAGCCAAACTTGGAGATGTACAAGTACAAGCCAGCCGACTAGCAGTTTTCCTTACCAACCCAGTCAGCATTTTTTATGGGTAAGGAGGTGAACTACTTTTTCCAAACAAAGAAAAACAGACGGGAGATGAACTACTTATACTTTTTTCTCAACTATACGAATAATTTGGCTCCCTATATATAAATCCCCACCTCCGACACCTTTTACTCCATCACTTAGAAACCAACAAAACCCAAACAAAACAACCCTCCGAAATCTCCTCCAACAAGTTAAAATCAGAATCATGACTTCTTCTTCCAAGTTCTTCCTCGTTGCTCTCGTCCTCGCCGTCACATTGTGCAACATGGGAAATGGAATGGCGGCACGACAGCTCCTCCAACTGCCACAACCCACAGCACTGCCTCCTATGCCCACCATCCCATCTCTGCCGCTACCAACTCTCCCAACCGGAGGATTGCCGCCGCTCCCCAGCGCCGGCGCCATACCCACCCTGCCGTCCGGAGGAGGATTGCCGCCACTCCCCAGCGCCGGCGCCATTCCCACCATGCCCACCATTCCTTCCATGCCAAAGGTTTCTCTGCCGCCACTGCCCAGCGGTTTTCCAACCATTCCTTCCATCCCCGGCCTTACCCCGGCAGGCCCCGGCAACTGATAAGTGAATTAGTACACGAAGTTGGTGGACGTGATTGTGTTTCGGAGTTGACGATGGTGTTGCTATGTCTTGCGATTTCTTGTGTAGAGGGCTCATTGTTTGTTTTTGATGGTCTGATTGTTGTTATTTGAGTTTCTTGTGCTTTGTATATTTGTTCACACTATTGTATGCATCACTTGTATCATTTGTCTGTTTCATTATGTTACTTTCGAGTTTCCAGCACTTCATTCTATATGTTACTTCTACATATGATTTTCATTGCAAGCCAAAGCGTTGAAACTGGTGGCTGACGCGACACGACCTCAGTTAAAATGATGGTCAAAAGTACTAGCTAATTATTAACCATGTTTTTTGGATACGGCGATTGTTAAGTCTTATTAATTATTATTAATTACTGTAAGAGGACTCACTAAAACAAATTTACGGGCTGAATTGAATGACAAACAGGTGTAGAATCGCTGCTACATATTTTGCCTAACACTATAGCGAGATGCTAGTTGACATTTCATATAGCGCTTGTTTGGTCTTGCAGTAATTTTTGCAGAATCAGCTTCTGTTTGGAGTTTTAGAAAGGTATTTTAAAAAAAAATTAGTTGAGTGTTTCGCTAAAAATGATATGATCCTAATTCGAGAATTCACTCAAACTTGGACCAAAAATCAGAATTGCTCAACGTTGAACTCTTTTAGGGTTTTCTTCTTGCTTGAATAACACAAAAAATAAAGATAACTGGCGAAATCGATCAAACAAATTCGAACTCGTGAGAAGGGCTAAAAGGTATATGAAACCTTCCAAACAATCTCGAACCCATTGAAAGGGCCAATCGATATCATCGATACTAGCCACAACTAGACGCGTTCTCTAGTTGATCAGAGACCACTCAATTCTCCCGAATCCTCAAAGAAGAGATTAAGCAAAAACGTTCGCAAAGGAACTCAAGTAAACACTCAATATAATTGATTTTTGAATATTGGGTACAAAATTTGTAGCTCTTACACCCTCCATTTATAGAGGTCACAAAAACATAATACTAACATTTTAGGAATATGAAAACAAGCTCCAAACTAACTAGTACAAAATTTGTAGCTCTTACACCCTCCATTTATAGAGGTCACAAAAACATAATACTAACATTTTAGGAATATGAAAACAAGCTCCAAACTAACTAGGTAACTTAATACTAATTAAATAAGGACTAAAACTACTAATTCAAATATTAAATAGGCAAAATACACATGTATAGCCAAAACTTTCGCGTTTGTGCCAATAATAGCCAAATTTGGCGAAATACCACTTATAGCCAGCTTTTAAATTTGTTGTAGGACAAATATAGCCATATCCGTTAGAAACTTTAACGGTGTTAATAACATTGTCAACTTATTTGACGGTTCGCTGACTAGACGCCAACTCAGTTGACACAACAGCGCCACATAAGCAAATAGTGACACGTCAGATATTTCAATTATTTAATATTTACACATCATAAATAAAAAAAAAAAAAATTGTTACCCTCCCTCACATACCACTGATACCCATCTGCTTCGCACATCTTCCCCAAATTTCCCCAAATTCAATTTTAGGGTTCATCCCCAACCGCCTACCGTCTCTCCTGCGACATAAACTTCTCCAAGTTTCCCTCCCCGCCGCCCACCACCACGAACGACCTCGGCTTCGCCAACAGCAATCGCGTTGCCGCCCGCCCCTCAGCAGGATGGCGCCGAATTACTCGAGGTCTTCGCCGTTCCATGGCTTGTCAACCACGGATTGCAGCAGCGACTCGATAGAATTCGCGGCGAGGAACGATGCCAAGTGACAGGCGAGGACCAATTATGCGAAGAAAATCGGCCTCCACAGCTGTGATTTTGGGTTGGGCGGCGTCGGCGGAGACCTGAACCCGGAATCTCAGAACCCTAAATTGAAAAAGGGGACAAAATTGTGGTGGCTCCTTGTGGTGAGAAGGAGGAGGAAGAAGAAGAAGAAGGCGTCGTCGATGAGACGGAGAGCTTTTGCTACTCTTCCAGGAGCTTCTCCTTCGACGAGACGTTGTGCGAGTTCAGTGCGCCGGGGAGATGACGGGTAGCGAGAACGAGGAAGGGAAGCTGTGGCAGCGGGATGGCGTCGCTACAGTGCAGAGGATGCTTGCGTTGGATTGGCAGTGCGGTGGCGTCACAGCGGTGGATTGTCTTCGGAGAGGATGATGCGGCAGGGGAGACTTGTGACGATGGAGGAGTATAGCAGAGGGACTTTGAGATTTTTGTTTTGTTTTCCACAGTGTAGGGTTTAAGCTTTGGAATTACGAGAGAAATAAAAGGTTTTTCTTTTTTTCTTTTTTGTTCATTAATTTAATAATAGTAAGAAAAGCCAATTTCCACCTAATATGATTTTGGACAAAAAATGCCCATGTGGCTGGCCACGTAAACTCCGTCGTTTGCCCAGTCACACTTAACGTTAACAGCGTTAAAGAATTGGACGGAAGTGGCTATAAGTGGTATTTCACCAAATTTGGCTATTATTGGCACAAACGCGAAAGTTTTGGCTATACAAGTGTATTTTGCCTATTAAATATCCAAAAATAATTAAACTCCAAAGAATGCACTGCTGGGGGGCTAGATAGGGTGACAACACCCCTTGTGTTGTTATTGTAACAACACTAGTCTCCAACCAATAGGAAGTTAGGGTTGTGATAACTTTTTATTAGTTAGATTGATCAAGTGTAAAATAAAAAAGGGCATAATTGTCATTATAAAATTATGTTTAAATAATAATAAAAATTATGTTTAAATAATAATAAAAATTATGTTTAAATAATAATAAAAATTATGTTTAAATAATAATAAATAATTATTAATTATAAATATGTTTTTATTTTCTACCAAATATTTGGTCGCCAGAGTCCGGCCACTGGTCGCCGGAATCCGGTTGTCGGTCATTGGAATATACTATTTGTCATCAGAATCCTCTCACCGTGATCAGAATATGCTAACCGTGATCAGAATATGCTAACCGTAGCCGAAATCCGATTGTCGTGGTCAGAATATGCTTACCGGCGTCAGAATCTGGTCATCGGGGCCGAAATATGCTTATCGGCGCTGGAATCCTGTCACCGACGTTCATCAGAGTCTGGCCAACGGTCAACCATCATCGGATGTTATGGTCTGCATTGTGAGAATTATGGTTTGGTTTCTGACATTTTGTTATGCCTTTTGTGGTTTGCTTTATAGTGTTTCTGGCTTGCAATAAGAAGTTTCTGGTGTGATTTCGAAAATTTTGTGGTCTGCTTAGTGGGGTTTCTGGTTTGTTTTAATATATTTGTGGCCTGAATTAGGACGTTTCTAGTTTCATTCAACTTCCAATCACAAACTACACGAAAGTTGCCCCTTTTTCATGGGGATTTACCAACATGGTCAGCATATCTTTAGCACGAGCAGCTCCAGGGGAGTCGGCTGGTACTTCGTCTCGGGCAGCTACTGGGCATCGCAGCTACACTCTCTTTTATCAGGATCCGCCCAATGTGCCTTAAGTTTTGAGATCGAGAATGCTGAGTCTATATATGATATTATTAAATAGCAAAAAGCCGTATAGTGTAGGAGCGCTCACATTTTTTGGCTGACTCTTTCACTTGAATTTTAAAATCCGGCTTGCGCGATTTATTTTCTAGAGAATTTTTTGTATTTTAAGGTAGTTTTAGATAATGCCATTTTTGTTGGAATGTTCTAACGAATCTTAGTATTATTATTAATAATATGTTGTGGTTTGCTTTATGTGTTTGTGGTTTGCATTATGAGGTTTGTGGTGGGGGTTTAGAAATATTTTTGGTTTGCTTTGTGTGTGCTCTGGTATGTTTTAGGACATTTGTGGTTTGCATTAGAAGGTTTCTAGTATGCTTTTTGTGATTTGCTTTAATTTACCGTGTTTGTGGTTTGCATTAGGAGGTTGCTAGTGTCAATTAGAAATATTTGTGGTATACTTTGTGGGATTTTTGGTATATTTTAGAAGATTTATGGTTTGAATTAGGAGAAGGAGAAGAAGATCGAGAGATGGAGAGAGGAAAGCTGGTGGTGGAAACTTTATTTATTAATTTTCATATGTTATTTTATGTTATTTTACCCTTAAAGAATCCTATTTTTACTATAACAACGGGTTAATTGCATGGTTGGTCACTGAGATTACAAAAAACGTTCAAGTTTGGTCACTCGAAATATTTAAATCCGTTGGTGGTAGTTCAGTTTACTGAAACCGTTCACGTTTGGTCACTCTTCGTCCAACTCCGTTAACTTTTGCTTACGTGGCGGTTAGCTCTAACAATTGACCGTTAAATGTGTGACGTGGCAATTTATAAATAATAAAATTAATAAAATTAATTTTTTTAAAATTACCATCTCATTTCCACCTCATTAACACTTTTATTTAATATAAATAAAAGAAATCTAATTTCTTCTAAGAGCAATTAATCATTCACTACTCCAAAGTCCTACCCAACCCAAACAGAATCAATCATTCACAAAAAAACCAACCATCAAATTTCTTCTTTAAGCTCTGTTTTCTCCACTTTCTTCTCCTTTCCTCCAATTCCAATATTCCCATTCTTTCCAATTCCTGGTCCGTGATATTTCCCACTCACTACTACTTCTGGTGCTTCTATGGCGTCCGACGAAAGCTTCGCCGTCCTCTCTCCCGTCGACGACTTCCTCGACCCCGAAGTCAACGACGACTACTATCTCCACTCCTCCCACCCTCACTCACACCACAAGCTCTCCAGGCTAACGGTCTGCACGAGCTCCATGTACACCAACGACGACGACGATGAAGATGAAGCCATCAGCTATATGTTCATGTCCAGCCTGTCCATCGACAGGTTCGACGCCGATGCGGAGCTCTCCGACCAGAACCCAAAACGGGTCCGCCCAAAACCGACCCTGGGACCCGTACACCTCAACCTCATCTCCTGCGATTACAACTCCGACAAGGAGTCAGGATTCTCTCGCTCCCCTCGACGCCACCG